TGATTGATTAAGTCCTTAGTAAATCACTCAAATGAAATACTAAGGCTAGGACCCAACACAATATTCTACAACTCGGGAGAGGGATGCCGTAACCCAAATTGCAGAACATTTGAAGGTAAGTGAATGACGATTCACTAATTTCCACCATGAAAAAACGAAAAAGAAATTTAAGTTTTAAATCTATGAAAACTCCTAGATCCTTTGAGGTTCATTGAACATTTCAATGGCATGTTTAAATCTTGATATACCCCTCTTGTTTGTGACTGGGATGCCGAGGATCACAAAGCGGGTGTGAATAACCATGCAAACTTACATGGTGCCCTCACATGTTACAGTCACCTATTCGATGTGCTGGTAAACCACACACGCTCCACCGAACTATGACAAACATTGAGTCACCCTTTGCTACCTTTGCTTAGAACCATTTAGTGTGCTGGTAAACCACACACGCTCCACTAACGTCTTCGCAAGGGCACAAAGTGTAACTTCATGGAATTGCATCAATTCACTTTGCCTAAGTAAATAAGATTGGGAATTTGAAAAACATTTGGTTACTTTTGTACTTCATCATACTTATAATGGAAGGTTTCGTCCTATCCTACCCGTTCGGCTAACGACCCTCCACTAGTCAAGAGTGCGGTGGGTAAGAGTGGATACCCATTCAATCGCCATATTATAGGCAATTTCCTTAAACACCCCTTATAGACCAGCTTCGTGAATGAGGCCTACTAACGATAAGACTGACTTTTACTCATACATATATATAATGATAGACTTTTAATGTTATATATAGTATAGGGTGTATTTTACACTTTTAAAATACTAGGTGGTCAAATTTAACAATTATACTTTTAATTCAATTAAATTGTAAACCTAAACTTTTATGGATTTATTAAACCTCTTTTAATTATACACCTTAATTAATTAATAAAACCACAAGGGTGTGATTTGAACTTTTCAAAACATTACTAGGGTTTTAGAATTTAACATTCCTAATTAAACCTTTTAATCAACTTTTAAATTCCAAAACTTGAGGGCAAGTTTTGAAACATTTCAAAACATTAGGGTTAGAATTTAAATATACATCAGAATTAAACTTTTAATCAAAATTTAAATTCCAAAACTTGAGGGCAAGTTTTGAAACCTTTTTCAAAACATGAGGGTTTTAACTATTTAAATTTCAAAACAACAAAACTTTTGAGTTCAAATTTAAACTATAATCCCTAAAGGGGAAAATATGAAACTTTTCATAACACAAGGATCAAATAACAAATAATCTTAATTAACATTTAATCACATAGTTATCCATATTTGATTTATTTAATGATTTCTTGCAAAACAATTTACCAATTTAATCAAAATAATTAATCAATTATCACATAAGGAAACAAATATTTTATTAATTGATAAATATCTTTAATTAGATCAAAAATATAGTCATATATATCATAAAATCGGATTTATATTGATCTAATATGATAAGGCAACTATCCTTAAGCAAAAACAGCAAGAAATCTCGGTTTTCCCTCCATCTGACCAGCCAACTCGCCGAGTTAGGTATGGACTCGTCGAGTCAGCATGAACTCGGCAAGTCCAGCCCCCAGAAACACAAAAATCGAAATTTTTAATCATACAAAGCATCAATACAATAGAAACCAATCTAGGCTCTGATACCACTGATGGGTTTTAGTCATAAGAACATCCTATGTGCTCATACAAACCCTAATGCTTGGATCTAGGTTTCTCTATTGTACATGCAAGTTATCCAAGACTATAAACCATAATTCTATCATGTAATCATATTAACATAAGAATGGATTTAAGACATTACCTTGATTGTTATGTAGCAATAACAATCCAATTCCTCCTTGTATTGGCTTTAGAAAGCTTAGAGTCACAAATATCACTCCTCTAATGGTTCACAAACACCAAGAGCAAGAGGATGAAGAGGAGAGAGGATGGAGGCTGCCCTAAAACGTGTGAAACCCTAGAAGGATGCTTAGCCACGTTTTTAGGTCATAAGGGATGTATATATAGTTAGGCTATTAGGGTTATTTAACAAGGAAACCCTAAATTGGATGCTTAAGCCCTAAGTAACCCATGGACTCCTTTCCTTAAGGCCTTGGACGATTTCTTATGGGTTTCCCCATAGAATTCGTCCACTCCTTAATATAAGACAATTCATAGCCCAAATTGCAATTATCTTATAATTACAATTCCAGTCCCTTAAGTTTAATTAATCTCTTTTAGACACAAAACTAATTACCAATTAATTCTTGACTAATATTAATTAAACAATATGATTTCTCCTTTAATATATTATTCTCATAATATATTAATAAATCATATTTAATCCTTTCTCTCCATAATTCATCCTATCAAATTGCTTTAATGAAGGCAACCCAAAAGAACCATGCACCATCGGGTCAAGTACATACCAAAATAGTTATGGAGTTAGACACTAATCCAAAATTAACAACACCATAATAGAAGTTGTAAAGGATTTCACATGAAGTTCTTTGCGACACGTTCAAGTATTTATCTAGCTCGTCTACCTTTTTTTGTACTCTAGTCAGTGTATTACAAATGTGTATTGTTGCAATGCACTGAAACGTTTTTGCATCATGGCATCCCATTTTTTCGTAATCTAGTTGTTGTATTACACATGCTAGTATTTATCTAGGATGTCTACCATATATTTTGTTTCCATATTTCCTACCATATTTTTCGTGCCCAAACTTTGCATTAGTAGCAACATAATATTTATCAACTACTTTTTGGCAGCTTCTCAAACTTTATGGCAATAAAATGTTTGAAAAAAATCTTAAAATAACTAGATGTTGAACGACTAGTAGATATGGTTGAACCTATAATGAATCCGACCATCCCTAGTCCAATCGAACTCACTCCTATGTCGGAATGGCAATATCATCAGTATTGACCTTATCTAGTGCCAAAAATTCCACCACTTCGTCTAGGATAATATTATTAGTGATCAACGAATTACATATGAACCATCTATCAAATTCGGTTTACTCATCTTATTTTATTTTGATATTTTTTTTTACTTTGGTTTAGTAGTGATTTTTACACTTAAAAACTTGATTCATTTACATACGATATATATCTTAGTGACATATACAATAGTCGTAAATTTTTTGTATCGTATAGAGAGAATGTTGTATATTTCATTATTACACATCAAATATTAGTTCAACTTCATTTATGGATATCAAATTTGCCCATCATAAACCTTTAAATATCATATTTGTCAAGATCTTTTTAATAATATTTTTTATAGTTTATAACAATTTTAGTATTGTATAATTATTTTAATCATTAACAAAATTAACCATATTGTCGTTATGTCTAAATTGATGCAACATCTACTAAATTGTTAGAATGTCATCCACATAACAAACATAAAATTTCATCTTCAACCCTCTCATTCAAATGTATGTAATGACTGAACAAGTTTTTATTGTTATTGATAATTGTTTTATCCTGGACAGAGGATATCTAAGATATCACCCTTGATCTTTGGATGTGCGTGTGTGTGTGTGTGTGTGTGTGTGTGTGTGTATATATATATATATATATATATATATATATATATATATATATAATTAGGTTCAAATGTGGATTGACATCTATTGTGCAGACATGTCTACAATGTTATTCTGTGATAATGACTAATAAAATATGTTATTTGCTAATGTGAATACGTTCAATATTACATAACTAGTGCCATTATCACACATTCTTACTAATTAAATCGTTTATAAGGTTATTATAACTTTTTTTTAATATTCTCTTTCTGTCAGAATGTGTCAAAATGTATATTGAGTCGTATTCTGTAAGAATGAAAATAAGTAAAAAACGATGCATGAGAACAAAAATAAATAAGAATTAGTAAGAATGCATTAAAATGACGATAGTTATGTTAGGTGGAAAGTATTCCCATTAGTGAACAACCTATTCTCTTAGTAATTCTCATTCAATAGCGTTGTGCACACGTCCGGACAATAGTTGTCCATCCACATGATAGCGTAACCCTATATATATATATATATATATATATATATATATATATATATATATAGAAATTAAAATAGATAAATATATTTAAGAAACACACACACACACACATATATATATATATATATATATATATATATATATATATATATATATATATATATAAAGTTCAATAGATAACCATTATTAACAAGGAACCATGAAAAGAATTGTGACCATCGGAAATCATAACAATCAACGGCCTAAGGAATGGTTGTAGATTTGTATATTGGACATATATACATTGTACTATATCAAAAAAAATCACATTCTTTTTCCTTTTAATTTTTTTAGGTCATCTTTTTTATTGAAAAAAAAATTAATATATCGTTGTTCACGATTTTTCGTCGTGTTTCAATGAAGACCCATATTTATATACAAAAACTTAAAAAAAAACCTCACTTTATTCTTTTGTTTTTTCAATATTTAGGCTTATTTTTATCCCAAAAAAACTACGTAAACCAAAAATCTAAACGTTTTGTTCTCTATTAAGAAACATTAACATCAATTAAAAAAATATTGATCTATTCAAATTCACACTATAAATCTTAACTGTAAATATTTTAATTTTAAGATTCACAATATAAACTAGATGGGGAACCCCCGCGTTGCAGGGGTCGGATGCAATAATTTTTTCCGTTTGTTCTTTGAAAATGTTTATAGTTTGAGTTGGTCATTCCTTCCCTCTTTAACTGATTTATAAACAAACAAATAAATAAGAAATAATAAACATCAATGAATCTATAAGCAAAACTAATAAAGTGAAAATTAAATGAAAACATAGGAACCTATAATGCTACAAATAACCAACGGAAGTAGAGGGCAAAACATTTTTTTTAGATTAAGTTGAAAAATAAAACCCATATATAGAAAATTGATCACACCCACAGCCCATAAAATTGTCAACCCGCCTTGATATGCAATCAGCAGTCTGCAAATTAAAAGATACATGCAACATAACTTAGCACAATCCATTTATGCACATTATGACAGATCATAAAGAAAGAAAACAGGTAATGAATTGCAATGATAAACCAAAAAGAAAAGATGGCAAGAAGTCCAACAACAGACTGATGCTCAAGTATTTGAATACCACCTTCATCTGCCAAAATGTTTATCGGATGCAGCAATACCTACAAAAGCCAATGTGAATTTGAACAAGAAAGAAAAAGAGGAAATATACTCTCAAGTGCACCAACAAACAAACCAAAAGCAAACATAGGGGCAATTTAGTCCATTTCAGAATAAACCGCAAAATTTAGATAACAATTACTACAACCCTTTATGTAGAAACAAATTACTCATAATAGCACTTTAATTATAATAATAAAACACAACCATTAAGGGATTTCATTTAGGAACAATGAGCATAAAGATCCCCCGTTTCTTTTAGAATAAAGATGTACACTACTAAATTAAATTTTGTAAAAAAGGGAATTTACCTGACATAACAGGAGCAAAAATGCAGCTATGGATAGAAACGGAAGTTTTAACCAATTATGCCATTGCAATGAGAGTTGTAAGTTGCATGAAATCGATATGAAATGAAACCTTTAGATTTCACTTTTACAAACGAGCAAATAACTTTTACTATGTAACTTAGTTGATTTTGAAATAATATATTTAGTACTTGGAAAAAGAAAAAAAAACATAATTGAAATTTTAATGCATAAAATTTCTGATGTGAGTGTGACCCTCTTATTTGTCATCAGTTTGATGTACCAGTGGTAATGCATGTAGTACAACATTCACAGCAATCTACTTTTTGAATCTGGTTCGTTGTTATTTCATGTATGGATAATGGGCTTTCCAATTGTCATCCTATATGATATTTTGATGGAAAAAGCAGTAAATCCTGAATTGATAGCAAACAATTACCTCTTCGATCTCTTCAGCAGATTTGATGAAACTGGAAACCAATTTCTTTGCCCTAAAAACATCTTCTTGAGGAAAATTCTTCAAGTGCATGCCAACTTCCCTATACTCATCAACTATTCTTTCCTCTTCTTCATCTTCCTGTTGGCGCAATCTTTCCAACTCTTTAGTCTTTTCTCGCTGGCGTGCTTGCCATTCCTAAAACCACACACCAAAAATAACCATTTTGCCCTTCCTTTTACTTCATAAACCCTAACATAACCTTATACTAAAAGGGATGAAGATGAACCCTTGTTGCTATTTTGTTCCTGCTTATTGATTTCATGATTACATTTGTACTTCCAAATTCATTTTCCGGTATTCATTAATGGGATGTTTGTATGTGCGAATATAGTGATTATTATGACTTTACGATAATCAAGTTATATGAAACACCATGAGTAAGAAGATTGTGTAGTCGATGCTGAAAAAGTAATCTTACCGGTTCTTTGAAGAATTTCACCAACCACTTGATGTGCATCTTCAAACATGTCAGATTTGAACAACAAAAACAATGTAATAAGCCCCAAATTAGTTTTTTCACAGAGCAGGTTTATCCAAAATTAGAAGAGGAAATGTCATGATTGATTAAAGAAGAAACACCTACCAAGAACATTCACATGGAACTGATGAATAATAGAAGAAAGCACCGTTTGTTACTGAAGCTTTTGCAGACGATAGAGTACCAAGTAAGACCATGATTTTTATTAAATTCTCCTTCTCCACATTGCAATTTAAAACTCCTGCACATACATAACCGAAACTATGGTTGTATAAAAGTGAATTTCATAGAAAGTCAAGTGAAGAGAAAGGAATCGCAAGGCATGAGTTCAAAAGACAGAACAAATACAATGAATTGAAATAAGAGGAAGGCATCGATGTTGTTAATATGCGAAATATATCGAGAACATAATTATGGTCATACCCTGATCCGATTTCGTTAATGGAAGTCCCGATTCTCTTCTCTATAGTGAAATCGAATTGGAACAATGTAAGGCAAGAATGGTTTTTTAACTGAAAAAACCGATATGGAAGTAATCCTTTTAATCAGTATTTGAGAGAAGTGTCGGAATAGTGTCTTAAACTGCAACTATATTAGGCAAGTATTTGATCCGGTTGTGTATGGTCTTTTTGGATTGCCTTCACCATAACAACTTGATAGATGATTTGTTAAGAGAGAGAGTAAATATTATAAGGAATAATATATGGTTATTTGATTAATATAACTCATAGATTAATTGGAATTAATTTGGTGACTTAAAGAGATTAATTAAATAAGAGGGTATGAACTGTCAATTGTTTGATAGTTACACTTTAGACTATAAATCCTTATTCAAGATAGGATGGACGATTTCTAGGGCTTGGATAAGCCTAAATCGTTCATAGGGTTATCAAGGAAAGGATATGGATCAACTTAAAGTCTAACTTATCCAATTAGGGTTAAAGCTGTAATCCTTAAGGAGTCTACAAGTATAAATAGACCCTAGGGGTGAGGGAATTCGACACACATCTAAAGTAGAGATACTCTGGCCGAATTCCTCCCCTCTCTCTCTCCTAAATCATCTTCTTGCTATTGGTGTTTGTAAGCCATTAGAGGAGTGACATTTGTGACTCTAGAAGCTCCAAGACAACAAGATCAACAAGGAATCCAAAGGTATGATTCTAGATCTATTTCAATGTTGTTATTTAACCTAATTAGCCATTAGAAGTCTTGGATTCAAAGCATGTTTAATTAGAAAGCCTAGATCCGAGCATTAGGGTTTTGCATGCGCACATAGGAAAGTTCTTATGGCTAAAACCCATCAGTGGTATCAGAGCCTAGCTTGGTTTTCTTTAAATTGTTGCTTGATTAACTGAAACAAACCTGCAAAATTCGATTTTTGGGTTTTGAGTCATGGACTCGGCGAGTTCCAAAGTGGACTCGGCGAGTAGGCCTGACTCGGCGAGTCCCTTTGTGTACTCGGCGAGTCCGGGCGTCAGGATTAGGCAAAACCGGGATTTTTTCATGTTTATCTTATGGAAACTTACCTTAATCATATTAGATCAACCCTAATCCGTTTTTTGATATATATGACTATAATCTTGATCTAATTAAAGATATTTATCATCTAATAAAATATTTAATTTCTTATATGATAATTGATTAATTATTTTGATAATTATCTTAAAAGAAATCTTGGATAAATCAAATAAAGATAATTAGGATATTAATTGTTAATTGGAATTATTTGTTATTTGATCCTCCATGTTTTAAATGTTTAAAACTTGCCCTCAAGTTTTGAAATTTATATTTGTGATTAAAAGGTTTTAATTTAGACAACTTAAATTTCAAACCCTACGTTTTAAAAGGTTTAAAACACAACCTTATACTAATATGATATTACTAGAATAATATATATATGTATAACTAAATGCTAGTCTTACCGTTAGTAGGCCTCATTCACGAAGCCGATCTATAAGGTGGGTATAAGGTTGCGGCCTATAAAATGGCGCTTAATGGGTGTACACTCACACCCACCGCTTGCTTGATTGGTGGAGGGTCGTTAGCCGAACGGGTAGGATAGGGCAACCTCATCCTCTCATTAAAAGTATAATAAGAAATACAAAGTAACTACACGTTTTAAAAATTTCCCAATCTTAGTTACTTTAGGAAAAGTGAATTGATGCAATCCCATGAAATTACACTTTGCACCCTTGCTAAGAAGTTAGTGGAGCGTGTGTGGTTTACCGGCACACTAATTGGTTCTAAGCAAAGGTGGCAAAGGGTGATTCATTGTTTATCATAGTTCGATGGAGCGTGTGTGGTTTACCGGCACATCGAATAGGTGATCGTTACAATGAAGGCACCATGTGAATTTGCATGGTAATTCACACCCGCTTTGTGATCCTCGGCATCCCAGTCACAAACAAGAGGGGCATATCGAGATTTAAACATGCCATTGAATAGTTTCAATGAATCTCATCCGAACCTAGGAATTCTCAATACACTTAGGACTAATAGTCTAGGTTTTGTAATGGAGAATTAGTGAATCGTCATTCACTTACCTTCAATTTATTTTCATGTTAGATTACGGCATCCCTTTTCTAATATGTAAATGTTATTGTTGGATCCTAACCCTAATTTTTCTTATTGGGTGATAATTAGGGATTCTTATTCTAATCTATCTTTGTCCTTTCTATAGATGTCGAACACAAACAACGCTGCTGCTAGTTCTTTCACGTTGATGAGCCTTTGCCAAAAGGTCACCTTCGATGGAACGAACTTTAGCGAATGGATAAGATACATTCGCACCATTGCTCGCTATGAGGATAAGGAGTATGTCCTCGATGAAAAGCTTGAGAAAATCAACCCCGAAATCGCTACTCCGGCTGAAATCACCGCTTTTGAGACTCATGAGCGAGATGCAACGAAGGTACATTGCATCATGATTGCCACCATGAACTCCGAATTCCAAAAGTCCTACGAGGACATGTATCCATACGAGATGCATCAAGACTTGTTGGAGAGATACCACCAAAACGCGAGACAAGAGCGTTATGAGATTTTCACTAACATGATCTCCGCTAAGATGGGTCATGGAGAATCTCTTACCGTGCACCTGCAAAAGATGCAAAGGTATGTCGATCGCCTTCGCAAGTTAAATGTTGACTTTGGGGAAGACTTGGCGATCGACATGGTGCTTCACTCTTTGCCTCCGATGTACAACCAATTTAGGATGACCTACCACATGAACAAAGAGGAGGTCACCCTAAGCAAACTCCAAGGTCTTTTGAGAGTCGCTGAGAGCAACTTCAAAGACAAGTCTGTTGCACCTACTCCCAATCCGTCTGCTGCTCCTGTCTTGGCAATTGGTCAAGGAAAGGGAAAGAAGAGGAAGGCTTCATCAAAGAACTATCGCAAGGTTAAAGCCCGAGATGGTGCCTCTTCTAGTGGGACCAAAGTTGATCCCTCTAAGCCCTATCCTAACCCGAAGGAGGCAGAGTGCCACCACTGCCACAAGATAGGACATTGGAAGAGAAGCTGCCCAGAATACCTGCAAGCAATCAAAGAAGGAAAGATCAAGCCATCTTTCGCAGGTATATACACAATTAAATCTAACGATTCTAATCATGCTATTTCTTGGGTTCTTGACACCGGTTGTGGTTATCACATTTGTTCAAATGTGCAGGGACTAAGAAGAAGTAGGGATGTGGAGCAAGGAAGGATCAATCTAATCATGGGGAACAGAAGATCGTCGCCTGTTACCAAGATTGGAGTGTATTCTTTAGTGCTTAGGAATAATTTATGTTTAGATTTGAACAATTGTTGCTATTCGCCAGAAATGGCTAGAAACATCATTTCATTTCATGGTTTATATAGACAAGGATTTAGATTTTCTTTTAATAATGAGAATGGTTCTATTATGGCTTATCTAAATAGTGTCTTTTACTTTGAAGCTATACCATGTAATGGAATATATGAAACTGTTATGATTGTTGATAACTTAGGAAATGATGTTTTGAATATTGATTCTTCCACTAGTTGGATAAAGCATCCTTGTGGCATTGCCGTCTTGGACATGTCAACAAGAAACGCATAGCCCAACTCCAAAAGGATGGAGTGTTGGAGTCATTCGACCTTAGGGAAGATGACACATGCGAGTCTTGTTTACTTGGAAAGATGACTAAGTCACCCTTCACGAATACTTGTGAAAGGGGTGAGGGGCTATTGGACCTAATACATACCGATGTATGTGGACCCTTTAGATCAACCACGAAGGATGGGAACCGCTTCTATGTGACTTTTACCGATGATTATAGTAGATATGGGTATATCTATTTAATCAAGCAAAAGTCAGAAACCTTTGAAAAGTTCAAAGAGTTCAAGAATGAAGTGGAGAATCAATTGGGCAGGAAAATCAAGATGCTTCGATCCGATCGAGGAGGAGAGTACCTAAGTCTTGAATTCCACGATTATCTCAAGGAGTGTGGAATAGTTTCGCAATTGACGCCTCCTAGGACACCGCAGTTGAATGGTGTGGCAGAAAGGCGTAATCGAACCTTATTGGATATGGTTCGCTCTATGATGAGTCGTGCTTCACTACCTATCTTCTTTTGGGGGTATGCCTTAGAGACTGCCGCCCATATCCTTAACCGAGTCCCTACTAAGAAGGTTGCCAAAACACCTCACGAGATGTGGACGGGAAAGCTCCCTCGTTGGCACATATCAAGGTTTGGGGTTGCGAGGCTTTCGTAAGACGAGATACTCACGACAAGCTTGAACCTCGAAGTGAGCGATGTATTTTCATCGGCTACCCGCAGACATCCTTTGGATATCTCTTCTATAGACCGAAAGACAATGTTGTCTTTGTTGCGAGGAGAGGAGTTTTCCGAGAGCGAGAACTCATAAGCCAAGGAGACAGTGGGAGGCAAATCGAACTTGAAGAGATTCAAGAGTCGATAGATGAAGGAACCTCTACCGCTGGCATTCAACCCGAGGAGGAAACTCCGGTTGAACCGATTGACGAATCCTTACCTCTTAGACGTTCCGATAGAGTTAGAGTTCATCCCCAGTTTTATGGTTTTCATATTACTACCGAAGGGGACACGTATATTAGTGATGGTACACTAGTAAATCTTGATGAACCTAATAGCTATAAGGAAGCCATGGCAGGCCCGGAGTCTGCGAAATGGAAAGAGGCAATGGATAGCGAGATCCAATCCATGTACGATAACCAAGTTTGGAATTTGGTTGATTATGTGCCCGGACGTAAGACCGTTGGGTGCAAGTGGATCTTCAAGAAGAAGACCGACGTGGATGGGAACGTACACACGTATAAAGCGCGATTGGTTGCGAAGGGCTTTACTCAAACTCCAGGAGTTGACTATGATGAGACCTTCTCACCAGTTGCGAAGATTAAATCTATTAGAGTGATGCTAGCAATTGCCGCATTTCATGATTATGAAATTTGGCAAATGGATGTCAAGACCGCCTTCCTTAACGGAAAGTTGGCTGAGGATGTTTACATGG